ATCAGTCAATATTGGATATATGGCTCTACACCCCAAAAACCCCCCAAGAAGGGATGCTGTGTGGGGGAATTCTGGGGTTAAAAGTCCACTCTTCTTAAAGTGGCTAAGTTTGGACAACGCTGATCTAGACTATGATGTTGCAGGCACTGACTAGCAGCAGCATTCAGTGGTTCCAACTGTGGAGCCTCAAGCCCTACTTGAAAATATCAGAACTGAATCTGGAACTTACTATAGGTAGACGTGCTATAGTGTTTGTTTGTTTATTCAATTTCTATAGCTGCCCATCTCAAGCCAAGTGACTCTGCTGACCCTACTCAAACTGATTTGCTTTATTCTGAGCCTGGCCAGTGTTCCTTCTTGCTCAAAATTATTAGTGCATTGATTGATGCTGGCACTCCAGGGTTGCAAGGGGACCCTCTTCTGACTATATTTATAGTTGTTGGAGATTGAACTTAAGATTTTATGCACGTCAAAACAGACCATTATAGGAATGCTCACTTGATGTAGGGTTGTAGTCTGATTCAGCAAAGCCAATTTTATTTATTGTTTTTTAAACTCTTCATTTTTAAAAACCTCTAGAGAAGAAAGGAGTTTTTAGGGATTTTCTGAAGACCTTAGTAGTAGAACTTGACAAAAGTGCTTCTTTTGTATTTCTTAAAAGGGTAGGTAGGCTGGTATGGATGAAAGTGAGCTTTTAAGTAACTTGTATCAAACCACTTAAGGTTTGCAGTTTAAAACCTGCGTTTGAAATTAGTCTTGGAATATACTTGCCCACGATGCAGTTGTCACAATACAGGTATCACATGAACCAAATGCATTAGCTTAGGGATGCAGCCATCCTTAAGCAGTTGCATTCCCTACCAGTGAAGGTTCTGAATTGACTTTAATGGCATAAAGACTGTGTTACAATCCAGCTTGGACCCCACTAGCACATGAATAGCTAACTTCTCCAGGGAGAGCTGCAGCTGGCAAAACAAAACAAAACTCCTTAACATTGCTGCCTAAGCTTTCTCAGTTAGCGATATATCCATGAGACCTCCCAAGCTGTGTTTGTATTTAGTTTAATAGTGCATGATTATATTGTGACTTATGACTTCCATTCAGTACCTCATATGACCTACTTCCTCTTGGAAGTAGTACTATGCTTGCAGATCCTCCCTTAGTGTGGGCCAAGCCCCCTGCCCACCTGGTGTGTGTGTGCATGTGTATGTGTGTGTGTGTGTGAGAGAGAGAGATTGTGTTTTTTGGAGTTCATTTGTCTTTTAAAGAATAGGAAGACGTCATGCTGCAAAACAAAACTTCAGCTTCTTTATGGCCAAGAATATATCTGGGACCTAACAGACCCTATAACATTCTTTTTTTAGAAATTAAAAATGGTAGTCTTCCTACCTTCCTGGAAGAAGGGACCGTAGTAAGCAAGGGGTATTCTGTTGAAGAGGGGCTTGGGTAGGTATCAAGGAGGATCATGATGGGGGGTTTGTCGTCTATGTCAGCCATTTTGTGAATGGATGAGCCCCGTCCCAGTAGCCATCTTGTGCAAGCACCCACAGTATGTCCTTAACATTCCAAAGGTGACCACCAGCCCCAAAAGTCTGGGGATGCCTGAAGAATGTTGGTTGGCATGAAGGCATGAGTTGTCCGTTAACAAAATGTGTCCTCTGCTTAAAAAGTATCCATAAGGACCATATCTACAGTTGAGGGGTGCTTAATACTACAATACAGTCCTAAGTTTAGTCTCTAAGATCTCCAAAACAGATGAGCAGGTAGTAGAGTGATAGGGAAAGATTGCTACCTGAGCTGCTGCTACTAGCCAGAATAGACATTAATTTTGGGGTAACAGTTTAAGAATGTCTTGCCCATGAGGCTTCCACTAGTTGGCCTCCCCTCCCCTCCTCTTCTCTAATTTTGCTTTTTAAGAAATCCTTGTGAGAAGCTTTTTAAGGCCTAGTTGCAAATCAGGAGAGTAAAATTGCAGTTGGGCAGCAACTCCCTGTGTGCTGAGACCTCTGATAAAAATAGCCCTGCCCCCGATACCTGCACCCACCATTTAGGCTTGGCAAAAGCCTCCTGTCAGCTCCAGCTGGGAAGACCACACAGTTGCACACATGGCATCTTTGCATACACACAGGAAGCATTGTGGGATGTGCGTGAATGTGTGAGAGAGCGGAATGGCCATGCCTGCTTGCTGTTTGACCTTGCCCACCTCTCACATTGCACCCCTTTCCTGAAAGTTAGCTACAATGTTGCTTGGTTTGAAAAAAATCCCACTCTGAGTCTGCAATATCTCATAACCCACAAGCAAGTAAAGAAGCCAGTTCTTTTGTTGTTCTGACTTGGCTGTGGTGATATCAGTGCATTGCAAATCATCAAATGTTTTATTCTTGGAGTGGGTGAAAGGTACTTTGCAAGTGATTTGCAGCTATAATATGTGGGTACATAAATGTATAGACTAAGTTGAAACAGAAAATGCTGCAGGCCAGTAAAGACTTCAGCACTTTCAACAGTGGGCTCATGTAATTTCTTTTATGGAGCTACTAGACAACCCATGGCCTGTTGGGTCATTGTTTCAGAGATATTTCCTTACCTAAACAGAATGACCAAGGGCAAAAAAAGCAGCGGGAGTATTAGCAACTTACGACTTGCTGGCGGCTTCCCCATTGACTTTGCTTGTGGGAAACTGGCAGGGAGTGTCAGAAATCTCCCTCCCTCACTTCCCACATATAATATAAGCTTGTGCCGTTTGCCATTCCTCACGATGCTCAGGAGAGCCCCCGTGAAGCCTCCTCCTCGGCTGACCCACAGAACTGCCTGCCACTTTGCTGGGGGGAGGTGGAACAAAGGGAGCCACAGACTACGAGGAAAACTGCACCCCCGCTCCTCATTCTAGCATGTCCCCAAGGGCCCCCTCCCTCAAGGAAGGGGGCTCACCTGTCGACCACCCGTCCCCCTCAGCCAGCCCTGTCTCGCCAACAGGCATCAGAGTCACTCACTTGTCCTTCCCTCAATGCCAACTGCTCTTAAGAGATTTAAAATTTCGGCCTCAGTTCCAAAGCAGCCAATTGTCACTCACCCATCAGGCCTGGCCTCCAGCTGATTGGGCGCAGGGGCCAGAGGGAGATGGGAAAGAAGTCAGGGATTCCTCCCTCCCCCTCCCCCACATATAATATAGGCTTGTGTTTGGGTGCAGGGGACAGAGGGAGGCGGGAAAGAGGTTGGAGATACACCCATGACAATCACGGGACCTGGGCTGACTGGCAGTGTGGCAGCACAGCAGTGCTGAAGTGACCACAAATTTCCCAAATTTCAATCCCATGGGAGTCATGGGATTTTGGGTGCATTCTAAGTTAGCCCATTTGAGGTACCTTGGTTCAAAAATTGTTGCCCTCTGGTGCACCATTTAGCCCAGTTACAGATGCGAGAGTTTTAGTACTATATACATACTGCCTTCACCAAGTTGTTGGGACCCCTTTTGTAGGTTGCTGGCATGAAGAATCATTACCTAGCTCAGTTTCTTTTCTAGTAGGCTTAATCCAAGGAGCTACTGCAGTGCTGACTGAGCAATTAAAAGCTTTCCAGGGGATTCAAGGTGCAGGAAATGTTCTCTTGTGCAGTTATGACTCCTGTTCCCTTTCTTTTTAATTTTCTCCATTCTTTTCTCTTTTCAGCAATTTGTCGTCAGGGTTGCAACCCCAAACATGGTTCTTGTAAAACACCTGGCGAATGCAGGTAAAGCAAAGAAATATTTTCTTCCTTAAATGATTCATAATTGCTGTAAAAGTAAAAAAGTAGGAGTAGGCCTAGGGCACCCTTGATTTTTAATTTTTAAGCAAATATTCTCAACACCAGGACTCAGGAAAGAAAGCAAATGCTTGTCTTGGAAGCTTGCTGCTTGTAAAAGTCCTATTTCATTTAGGTCTGGAAACAGGAAGTCAAATGTATTATGAACCTTCTGTACTGAATGGCAGCTAAATTCTTGGCCAAACTTCAGTGTGTAATCTGTTTGAGGCATTTACTTCTAGTAAGTGTAATTATGCGACTGCCTTTAGGCTTCTCCATCTCCTACCCCCACTCCTTTCCCTCAGCTTTTCCCATCAGTAGGGCACAAGTTGAGCATTCTTGAGACAGGATTAATGCACCCTCCTTGGGTCCCCTGCTCTTGGGAGCCAGACTTCAGAGTGATGAGAGGTTAATAGCTGGGATGGAATCTTGTCCATAGATCTTGATGGGCAGAGAGCTGCTGTTATTCTTTGATGTCTCCCTTCTTTTCTGGCAAGCAGACAAGGTTGTGGTGATGTGGGGCATGGGGGGAAGAACAGCTTGCATGTAGCTGGACTTGGAAAGTCAAGAATCATGATTAGCTTGCATCCCTGAATTGGGTTTGCATCCAGGTAAAGCTGTTGAATGTTGGGGTAGGAACCTTTGCTTTTAAAACTTCCTTTCTTTCTGGAGTAATTGCTGCCTGCGTTTCAGACGCAAGAAAGGGAGCTTCTGACACTGGCAGGAGCCTCCAGGAGCTCACTGAGGAATCAGACGTATTGTGGGGTTTTTGGTTTCTTCTCTGGTCTGACTTCAAGACTCAGTCACCAAAGCCAGAAGCACTTGGGGAGGTGAGGAAGGTCTCTGGCTTCAGGGAACCGCTTGAGGTTTGGAGGTTTGAATCCAGAGGATAGCTTTATGTTCCAAAAAGTGGTGGCAAGCACAGTGAAGAGGAGGCCAACCAGACCTGGTCCCTCCCCCCCCCCCGGCAACTGGTGTGACCAATCGTCCCCAGCCCTACCCAGTAACATCTCAACAAGCCAACATGCTCATCCCTTTTCCTTAACCTCAAAGCCAATCAACTCCCTCCGTTACTCTCCCTGGCAATGGCTCCTCCATTTGTGTGCCTGACAGCCCTGTCCTCTCGCAAGCCAAGTTCTTGGGAGGAGGAGAGGGCCACTGCCCATAACGCCATCAGCACCTCTGCTGCCCCTCTGTGAAAGACAGGGCTATTACCTGTAGTGGTGGGAGAGAAAAACAACATCCGGCAGCTTTCAGGCCTTTATTGATCTGTGTCTGCTTGGAGAAGATCCTGAAAAGGAAAGGAATATACGTGGAGCTGTTAACTGGTCACCCCAGGTGGCGGGGGGGGGGGGCTTGTGCAGTACATAGCCATTCAATTGGCAGCAGTAGAAGACCCTGCAGTCCCTCAGGGCACTTGATCCGTGTTAGAAGTGGCTTCATGGAGCACCGCCAAGTAACTGCCACGGTGTTTTCAAAAGAGAGGAATCTGCCTGGAACAGGACAACCGGTGTGGCTGCTCCACTGAGGACCCTTGTGGTTGCAGGAACAGAATGGGATTCTGTTGGGAAGAGAACTGTTAACCGTGGGCTCAGGGGCCCTTCCCCTTCCAGTCATCAGAGCTTTCTTTCCTTTGAGAGCCCTTCCACATCAGAGAACAAAAGGTAGTCCCCCACCCTGGGGCCACCTGGGGTCGGGAGGGGGGGCAGGTAGGCCATATCCTGTGCCCTTGTTGTGGAGGCACTGCTGAAACGGGGTGTGCCTGCTTTAAAAAAGAAAGGAGTGAATGGACCCTTAGACAAGGAGTAGGGCCAAAATCCGAGTAGCCCTAACAGACGCACAGAAGAGACAAGGGGTGGGGTTCTTGCCCTGGCTGTCTGTCAGTGCAGACTCAGCCTCAGCCAGGCTGTTGTATTTCTTTGCCCTATTTTGGTTGGGCTGGATCCCAAGAGATGCACAGGCCAAAGCAGGAGAAGATTTGTGCTTCTGTCATCCAGCTCAATGTGCCTTAAAGGGTTTGCCTGCATTCTTCGCTAGCCAGAACAACAGGCTTTGTTTCCAGAGTTCAAGTCTTCCTGTGTCTCTCGCCTCCCACTTGCTGCCCAGACATGCATTATTGCCCTTATTTACTTAAGGTGCAACTTTCCCACACTTCTTTTTCATAGTACTCCAGCAGCCTAGCTGCCCTTCCTGATACCCCAGCCTCAATTATCTTCTTGGACTCAGGGAAACCAAACTATATGGTGTTTTTTTTTTCCACTGAGTTGGGATGAGTCATAGTCTGCTATGTTACAAATGCAACAGTTTAAAAATAAAACCCCAGCCAAAGCTGCTTTGTACTCCAGCAGCCTAGCTGCCCTTCCTGATACCCCAGCCTCAATTATCTTCTTGGACTCAGGGAAACCAAACTATATGGTGTTTTTTTTTTCCACTGAGTTGGGATGAGTCATAGTCTGCTATGTTACAAATGCAACAGTTTAAAAATAAAACCCCAGCCAAAGCTGCTTTTAAGACCTGAAACAACAATACATAGAAGTTTCACTCATTCTCACTGGAAGTGATGTGGAGAAAAAAAAAAAAAAAAAGACAGACCCATTTTGTAAGCCAAGCTGTTTTTGAAGGATACAGTGGCTGGGTATATGTTAATGTGGAAAGACCTAATAAATTCTTCTGCTAAAATTAGCCCTCCTTCAGTTTTGCTTGTTTTTAGGAACTGAACTGTCAAGATGGGCTTTGCCTAACATTAAAAATAAAGTTAGAGTTTTGGAGGCTGTTTTTAAAAAATGCTGCTACATGTTTAAACAGCGTATGCTGCAGAGGCCGTTGGCACTTAACTAAAGTAGTCTGTCCATCTTCCCCAACATCGTGTCCTCCTTTCCAGCACCGACTGCCAGTGATGGGGGCTGTAGTCCAACATTTCAGGAAGCTTTGTAGGGGAGGAGAAAAGCGTTTTGTTCCATGCAAGGATTGAAATCTGTCTTTCGTCCTTTCCTTCTGAGGCTTCTTTATTCAAAGGAGAACCTCCATTTCCTCTGCTGTGCTGTTCACAGAGGAGATTCCACAATCAGGACTTGAAATACTTGCTGTTTTCAATCTATCAGTGGCATCAAGGCATCTTTCTTTCTCAAAGCTGCTTCAAAAAAATTAATTAGGGGAGTGGCTTGCCATCTGAGGTTTTTTTTAAGGAGAGTTAGAGGATGATATTAGCGATTAGCTCCCCAGTCATATATCTCTGTCGTTTTTCTCATCACAAGGCTTTTCTGACAGGGTATCACTTTGAAAATTGAAGGAAAAAGGTTTGTTTTGGTAAATTAGGCCCAGTTGAGTTGCGTAATTGCAGTTGATTGCTTCTCCCCAGATATTGGGTATGAAATGCCCTTTTTGTTCACCCACAATTTCACACTTGCAAAGTTTTCATTTTCCCCCTCAGATAGTATATTTTATGAGATTAGCAGTGCCTTAGTGCAGTGGGGGTGAGAACGAGGGGGAGACTGGGCATTTTGGAGAATAATGATTTTTCCTAGCTTTTGTTGTTATATCAACCTGCATTGTGTGTGTGTGTGTGTGTGTGTGTGTGTTTTAAAAAAAATTCCCATAAGCCTTTGAGCCAAACTTTAAATAAAATCCTCATAGAACTGTGGTCTCTGTGCTCAGCTATGGCTGGAGGAGATAAATCAAACACCACCCCCTTCCTTTCATGTTGCATATGGAAATATAGATTATTAAATGGAAACATTGCTTAGGACTTCTGTTATTATCTCTCTTAAAGCGGCTTCCTTCTCCTAATGCCAGCATGTGACTCCTAGTGCCTGCAGGTCCAAAACAGCTGTTCATCTGTGTGCAGAGTTGCTGTGCAAAGGGAATCCTGGTTAGGTAGCTGCTCTGTACTGCTTGGCTGTTTGCCTTTCTGCTGAAATGCCTCTAAACCCTTGTATTCATGAGGATCTTTGGATAATTGTTGCTCCTCCTGACTCATTCTTTTCTCTTCCCACCCTGATCCCTTTCTCTAATCCATTTGTCAAGGCCCAGAGATTGATCTCTTGTGTCCACCCACCCACTCTCCCTCCTGCGTTTGTATGAGCTTCAGAATAGCGTAGTCTTGTCTTCAATGGCTCCACACTGAGCCTCCCAAAACAGTTATTCTTTTGTACAAAGGCTGCCTTTAGAGACCTTGGTTAAAACTGTTTGTTTACAAGAAGCCACCAAATAAGTCTCTGAAAGGACGCTGCATTTAAAAACAGGAAGGCAAAACTTGGAATTTCCAGCCGCTGGTCCTTTTATTTCCTTTCGGGAAATAATTCCAAGCTCTTTTTCTTTGAAGGTGTCAGTATGGATGGCAAGGCCAGTACTGTGATAAATGCATTCCACACCCCGGCTGTGTCCATGGCACTTGCAACGAACCGTGGCAATGTCTCTGTGAAACCAACTGGGGTGGCCAGTTCTGCAATAAAGGTAGGCTGAATCTAGGAGGAGTTGTAGGGGTGTTTGAAATGCTGATGAACACCATGAAGGTTGGGGTGGTAGGTAGAAAGTGCACTGGTAAACTTTGGGCCTGCTGGCTTTGCTTCCATATTCTGCTTATGAGCTTCCTGACATCTGATTGCTTTGTCTTGGAGAATAGCATGGCAGAGGACACATCATATCTGTTTTGAAACCTCTTATTCATTCTTTGGCGCCTGCTTATCCCTTGCAGATCTCAACTACTGTGGGACTCACCCTCCTTGTTTGAACGGAGGGACCTGCAGCAACACAGGCCCTGACAAATACCAGTGTTCCTGCCCAGAAGGCTATTCGGGACAAAATTGTGAAATTGGTAAGAGATTCTCCAGTGGCTACTTTGTTGTATTCAAGCACCATGGCTGCACCCCCAGAGATCATCTGGGCAGAATGAGAGATGGGGAGAGAATGCAAAATTACATTTCAGTGCATAGTAGGCAAGCAGTTGTTCTCCAGAACTTTGGACTTCAGCTCTCATCTGCCTTACCCAGCATGGCTAATGGCAAGGATAATGGGAATTGAAGTCCAAAACAGCTGGAGAGTCCCACGTTGCTTCCCCATTGCTTCTAGAGAAAGTCAGCTGCAACAGTTATTTTCATGTATTTATTATATTTTAATTCCCCACTAACAAAAATTTTCTGGTTATATTATTAGACATATGCACGGACCAATTTTTATATATTAACGGCCAACCAATTTTGTAGAGAGAAAGAACATTTTGGAATATAAAGTACCTGAAATTTCTGGAGAAGGCCATTGCCTGGAATGGATCATTTGGAAATGCCCACCAGTCATCATGCAATTAGAATCAACTGGGTTATAGAAATGGGTGATACAATGAGACAACAGGTGGGCATTTCCAAACAATCCAATCCAGGTAACACCCTATCTCTTGAAGATGGTACTGGGAGGACAGTGCAGTTGGGAAGTGTGAAGTGGCTGTTGAAAAATATGCTGATGGTCTCTGGCTTAGCATGCTGTCACTGGTTTGAGGGTAAACTTGGTATTTCAGAGCTGGGCCAAGAATTAGGTCTGCTGCCGGATTGAACCTAGGAGGAGCTAAAGGAAGCAGGAAATAATTGAAGGGGGTGATTCATCTTGGCAGCTTTGGCTAAGCTGAAGGGGGTTCTGTTCTTGCTGCAGCGGAACATGCCTGTCTTTCGGATCCTTGCCACAATGGAGGAAGCTGTCTTGAAACCCCTACTGGATTTGAATGCATCTGTGCGCTAGGCTGGGCAGCACCAACCTGCACGCTTAGTAAGTGAATTGGAATGGCAAAGCTTTAAACCTCACTCGGCTTCTTGAGGTCACAGAAATTTTCAGGTGGTTCTTAATATTTGCTCCTGTCAGAAATAATGCTGATTGCCATAACACAGTATCAGTTTCCACCCTTTAAAGATCCTCTGGTTTTGCTTTCCTAGTTTCTAAATTCTTAAACCCTTCATTTGTTACTCATGCATCTTGCCAGTATTATCTGCAAGTCTGGGGGAAAAAAAAACAGAGTATGCTCTTCTGTCTTGTATGTGTTATCCTTTCAGTGCAGGTCAGTTCCAATGTCCATGTAGATGATCTGCAAGTAAAAATTGTAGTTAAGGACAGATGAATTAGAACTGAAGAGCAGAGTTGGGCAATACTTTAGGATTTGATTCAGAAGAGATACTTTGGAATATGCAGGAGCACAAAGGAAAATCACCACATTTGTTTCCAGAATGGCACTGTTTGTTTATTATTTATTTATTACAATTATTTGCCTTAAGCAACTTTAGGCAGCTTACAATATCGAAAATATTAAAAAACTAAATATTTTTTAAAATCTGCTCTTATCTTCCAAATTGGTTCCTCAAAAGCCTCACGGAAGAAGTTGTTCTTCAACTGCTTCTTGAAGAATAAAAGGATGGGGACAGCCACAGTGGAAACCTCCCTGCAGCTGCTGCTGCATGAGCTGAGAAAAAGATGTAGTTGCTTTAATGTGTTGCAGATAGGTGCTGCATTCATGCCCCTGTACATTCCAAAGCACTGCTTGTCCAAATCAAAATTGAAGCATTGGCCAGGGCTATTTACATATTAGTCATTCAGAATGGGCTTCTCCCAGGAGCTTCTACCTGCCCCCCTGCCCCCTACACACACATTTTCTGAGACCTCAAACCTAGTAGAGAGGACTTCATTGCAATCATGAAGTCAAGGTTGCACCTTGGTGTTTTTGTGCATGCTAGGTCTAACTATGAAATATGGATAGAGGGAAACAATGATGTAAGCTGATACTGAAAGAAAACTGAACCCAATGCTTTGTGTGCAGAAAGTCCCAGTTTGGTTGGGGAAATACCAATGTGTGAAACCCTGGGGAGCCCCACTTAGTGTTGAGAGTACAAGGCTGGAAGGGTTGATTTGATATAAGACAGCTCTCTGTGTTTTCCTGGGCCCCACTTGAATTTGTCCCAAGTTTAAATGAGTTCATTGGAGTCTTTTTCAGACTTGAACTCTCTAGCCTTGGCAGTTTAAAAGCAGAACAGGAATGTTTTTGTGAATATCCATGAATTTTCACTGGCACTCTAGCTGGAGTAGTTATCTCCTGTTTGGAGACAATGTGAAACTGGCTAGCACTTTCTCTGAAGGCTTTTAAATCTGGAAAACCTAACCAACGTGAATGTTCCTGATGTTGAAAGCTGCTTCTTATCAAAATCCATAACTATGTTTAAAGATGTCTGAGCTACCAAAGACAGTTGTGGGGGCAGGGAGGAATAAAAAGTAAAGGGCACAACCTAAAAGTTGGATATTTCCTTTGGAGTACAGCATGACTCTTGACAAAGAGATGCATGACTGATAATATGTTGGCCAGATGATAATTATCTGTTCCAAGTCTAAATAAATCCTTTCTTGGTAGATATTGATGACTGTTCTCCAAACCCCTGTGGGCATGGAGGGACTTGCCAGGATCTAGTTGATGGATTTAAATGTGTTTGCCCACCTCAGTGGACTGGTAAAACTTGTCAAATAGGTATGTATTTGATGGTGAGGGATATGGTGCGTTATGTTCATCAGGAAGACCTTTTCTTCTCTTCCTTGGGCCAAGCTGATAGAAACAGCTTCCCAGATACAATACTCAGTCTGTGGAGATTGTTAGATTGCACAGTAGAACAGATTGTCCATGTGTTCCCATGCATTATGGAAAGAAATTTTGGAATATCTGAGCTGCTGTGTGTATGAGAAATTCAGATTTGCTAATCTGGGAACCTCTGGGGCTGCTTGAACTCAGAGGAGGAGAACTTCCTACCATTTGCCCAAGGGCACAAGAATAACCTGTGCAGTTATCTTAGCCATTTCCATCTCCCTGCACAATGAGTCCGTGGGAAGTAGCCCCCTTTATGCAACTCTTGAGACTGCTTCCTTATCTTGGAATCAGCTGCGATGCATAGTTTAGAGCAGATATTCCTTCTTAAGGCAGTGCACTCTCCCACCTGCTTTTCCCTCCCTTTTGGTCTTGTGGGAAAGTCGTGGCATCCCACCAGCTTCATTAATTCATTCAGCCAGGAGAATTTGCAGCTGCATTCCAACCTCTGGCTTGATCCCCTGAAGAATGAGTCATCTGCACTTTGAAGGCAGTGTTTTAATCCCAAGGACTGGGGATGCTCTGCTCCTTGGCTAATCTCCACTTCACTCACCTCTTCCTGCCTCCCCCTTCTCTTTTAAAAGTAATTGCTCTTAATCGTGGGGGCCAGTGACTCAGTGCTACTGATGTCATTGTGAGAAATCAGAACACACTTCAGTGATTTAAACACTGGACTAGGCAGCCTGGTGCCCTCCTGAAGTTTTGGACTGTACTTCCTCTAGTTTGTTATGACTGGCTGCGGCTGCTGGGAGCTGTATTCCCAAATGTTTGGAGGGCACCAGGTTGCCTAGCCCTGAACTTGTTCTCCTGTTTGTTTCGTCCTGTAATCTTTCAGAGTCCACTAGCTTTTAATAAACTTGGAGTGCTTGCTGTGAAAACAAGAAAGGGGTGTGTTTTCCTCTTTCACTGTACTCACAGCTGAACATTGAGCAATTCATTTTCTCTTTTCAGATGCCAATGAATGCGAGGGTAAACCTTGTCTCAATGCCAATTCCTGCAGGAACCTGATTGGTAGTTATTACTGCAATTGCATTGCTGGCTGGACTGGCCAGAATTGTGAGACAAGTAAGCTTGAGCATGTGTGTAGCTTGGGGGAGTTGAAATGCAAAATGTTGCAATCAACACTAAGCTTGAAGTTTAGATTTTGTCATAATTCAGCCAGAAGGCAAATGCAGGGAAGGGAAGGGGGGGAGTCACTGATGTTTTTAGAAAGGGAGTAGTCAATCTGGCATGAATAAGAGGCAATTTTATCAAATCCATTAGTCCACAATATGGCTAGATTCTGATAAGGTGGCTTGAAACAATGATGTGAAGTTTCAATTTAACTCTACTGGAAGAATTGCTGAAGGTTCCCACCCATTATAATAACTTTATCTCAAGGAAAGCAAGCAGGAAACTTCACAAAGAGTTTATCTAGCTAGAGCTACAGAGCCCCCTGATTTTTTTTTCCCATCTTGGATTTCAGTGCATGTGTTGCCTTCCCACTGAGCTTGTGTTTTTCTTTTTCTTCTTTTTTTAATTACAGATATTGATGACTGTGTGGGACAGTGTCAGAATGGAGGGACTTGTAAGGTGAGTAATGGTTGATTCCCCTCCGATCGGTGTTTAGTGCCAGTTTTCAACAGAGAATAGTACAACTGAGGAGAGGTGGACAGCACAGTCCCTTTCAGATTGGTGTCATTTTTGGTTAGATTTCTGCTAATCTGGGAATGAGTTCTTGGGGGGGGGGGGAGAATTCTCACTATTCTCACTGAAAAGGGTTTTTCTCTCAAAATATGCTTATGAGGTTCCTCTCTCCCTCTCTCTTTCTCTCTCTTTTAAGTTAAGCTCAGCATTGGATAATTGGAGAAAGATCATAGATAATTTGAATTCTAGTCTGCAGGTAAATCCAGGAAGCAGACTGGGAGAGTTCATAATTAAATTCACAAAGATCAAATTCCTTAAGCATCCCTACAACAGCCAAAGTTGCTCACTTGGCTCAGAAGGTTGTGGCACTGGATGGCATATTATTCTGGCCCAGTGTTCCTGCTCCAAAACAAAATCTCCCATTCCAAAAGGCTGTCAGTCGAATCTCAATTCAATCATTTTATCCTTCTTTAAATCCCAAGGAATCCCATTTCTCAAACTTGCCTCCCTCAGTACTCCATCTGCAGAAGCTTATTTTATTACTAGATTGCTTCCATAGGAAAGGTCTTTCTGATCGTTTGAGAAATGAACGTCAGCACACAATGCTTATCTAGTTTAGTATCATTACTTTACTAATAGTGTCAATTCCATAACCTGCAGACAAAGCACATAACCATGTTTGTTGAACAAATCATAATGGCTAGTTTTCACACACCGTAAGCATATTGGGTGGGTTTTCCATCAGATTAACCAACTATGAAATAATCATGTTAAAACTTAGCATGATGCATGAACTAGGCCATTACATATGAAGAGAAAGTCATTTTGCACTAAATAAGCACAAAATGAGGTTAATGGTAGTCTGCCTTTCAGGGACATTAAATTTCATAAAACCTTTTGTATGTCATTTCTCAATTTTAGAAAGATATGATAATATTTGATACTAATGTATGTTCAGAAATCTCTCTCAATGTGTCAATGCATAATTTGTTGCTACCAAGAGCTGTTCTGTATATTTTAATATATTCCATTTTTATCCTATTCTTCATTCAAATTGGTATGCTTCTCCCACTGCTTGTCTTCTCATTTTTATTCTCTCCACAATTCCATGAAATAGAAAAAGGAGGGCTTCATAGATGAAATGGGAGTTCAACCTGGGATGGAACAGATTGTTGCTCATCCACAAATTAGGTGGAGAGCACAAAATGCATAATTTTTTTTCAGGAAAAAGAGACTGAAGTGGGGTGGAGGAACTGAATTTTCTCCCACATCATTTCTGCCCCTTTTTCCCAGCTTGGCTTCAGGAATGAAGGTCAGGCTATGATCAAAAGATCAAAATTGCAAACATTGTAGAGCCAAAACAGGGCTTTATAATGCGATTATCACTAGTGTCATCACCCTCCTGTAAGTAAATATCCCCCCAGCTATGAAGTTCAAACTGTGTATGTGCAGAAATGAATCAGCAGTGCTACCTCATCCTATCTGGTTAGCTCTGATGATGCACTGAATCCAGGTCTCTCTGGTTTGACTGGGTTCTTCCCTAGTGCACTCCAGTGGTTTTGCATTGTAAGTCCCCACAGTCCCAGCACACATGGTCAAAGGGACGGGATTGTGGAAGTTGTAGTTCAATGTAATCATAGGACGTCAAATGGCCTCTCTGTGTTTTGTGCTGTTTGCTTGTGACGTTTTGTGTTTATTGGCAAGGTAAGCTAACTTTTTTGTTTTTTGCACCCTTTTCTCTTTCCAGGATTTAGTGAACAGTTATCGCTGTCTCTGTCCACCTGGCTATGTTGGGGATCACTGCGAGAGAGACATCAATGAATGCGCAAGCAACCCTTGTTTGAATGGGGGTCACTGCCAAGATGAAATCAATGGCTTCCAATGTCTCTGCCTGGCTGGCTTCTCGGGAAACATCTGTCAGGTGAGGCAGGTTCCAGATAAGAGCAAACTCCCTTTGCAGTTCCTGGATCTGTAGGCTGAATACCTGTATTCAAGCGAGCAGTGTTAGTAGATACTTTATTGTTTAAAACAACCTCAAGGGTAAGGTGTGGAAAGCCATAACTTCAGGAGCATTTGTGCGCGCTCAAGTTGCAAGTGCTCTGTTTGCCCAACCTCTGCATGCTGCTTGATAGCCTCATTATTTTAGCGAGGCTGGTGAGAGCTGCATTGCGTCTGGTGTACACAAGCAATAGAGGTGGCAGATAAAAAGGTCAGATTCCACACTTCCTTCCTGTGACCGTGGGAAGAAGATGAATAAAGCCTTTGACTTGGATTCTCTGTTCTGTCCCCCTCTTTCCTCCCTCTCCACCATCACTGACAGTTGGACATAGATTATTGCGAGCCCAACCCTTGCCAGAATGGGGCCCAGTGCTTCAATTACGAGAGCGATTATTTCTGCAGCAACTGTCCTGAGGATTACGAAGGCAAGAACTGTTCCCACCTCAAAGATCACTGCCGTTCAACTCCTTGCGAAGGTATGCTTTTGAACATTTGGGCTGTGCTGTGTAGCGGTGGCTCTTTCACTTGGGGAGCCCATGGTTTTCATGCAGAATATCCCAAATTCGGTCTGCAACATCACCTGACCAAGATGTCTGTCTGAAATTTCAGGGGGCAGAACTCTGGCGACTCAGTTTCATCAGTGCTTGAGTTAGAGCAGGTTAGCAGGCTTTGGCCGTGGGGTGGCATAGGACCTTCAGACCCCATTTTCTGTGGCTTCATTGAGCCTTGAGCTATGCCCCCTGAATAAGTTAGCAGCCTGATTTCCTGCTATTTTAAGGAGGAAGACCCAGTAACTTCACCATGTATTTCTAAGTAAATTTAAAACTACAGAATATCCCGACACTGCCCGCTTTGCAAATCCGATTCAAACCCTTCCGAATTCAAACTTCAGCCCGTCCTAAAATCGTTAAGCAGAATCCTCAGCCACCAAAAGTTTACCTTCCCCGATCTAGATGGAGAAATAATCTGGTCTGATCTAAGGCTCTCCTGGTTACAAAATGCTCCTGCCGCTAAGAGTTGGGGACACTTAGAAAACTAGGTGCTCTAGAGTCTTTTTTTTTTTTTCCAGAAAAGAGTGAAGTGCACACTCCTAAGGGATGGGTAATAACAGTATTGGAGAGCATGGGAGCCATAGGATGTGGGTATACTGCCCTTTTGGGGCTGAAGATCGCATGCCAGGTTTTGGAACACATAGGGGCTTGGGTGTAAGGCATGGCAAGGGAAAAGTGGGTGTGCTTAAAGTAGAAAGTGACAGAGTCCAAAGTTGAAATCCCTTTTCTTCACACGTTGAGCTGTGCTGCATTTCCTCATCCACCCTCTCCTTTCTTATCAAGTCTTTAAAACTGAGTTTAATTTGAATGTACCTGCCCCAAATCAGGAACAACTGCGGAGGGTCTGTAAAGCCACTGGTGAGACAGTGAAGGCTCATTTTTGCTTGCTTGTCTCCTTTCTGCAGTGATTGACAGCTGCACCGTTGCTGTCGCTTCCAACAGCACCCCAGAAGGGGTTCGCTACATCTCTTCCAATGTTTGTGGCCCCCATGGCAAGTGCAAGAGCCAAGCGGGAGGCAAGTTTACTTGTGAATGCAACAAAGGCTTCACTGGCACCTACTGTCATGAAAGTAAGCTTTGGAGATGCTTAATTCGGTTCCTCTCATTTAAAATCCAAGTTTGAAGCTGCCTGTGTAAATAATAACAACATTTGTCCTTGGGACCACAGGGTTGACAGTAATGCACCTTTTGGACCCCTCTTTCCTCCTCCTGCAGTGAATTGAGACTGGAGCTCTCTTGGCCTTGGGAAAACTGTTTAAGAGGCCCCTGCCCTTGGATGTCTAACCTTTTAATAAATTGTAACATTAACTTGGGCTTGTGTACAGAAGGCTTCTACTAGCATACAGCAAACTTACCCTGCCAGTTTTATCATCTGCCTTACAGAATGTTTAAAGCATGTGGGGATATTAAGAATAAGCTGGTTTTTATTAGCCAGCTTTCCATTTTTTAGCAAAGGGCCAAGCACTGTGGTAGAGCACTTGCATGTTGAATGAAACAGATTTACTCTTGGCATCTCTAGGGACAGGGCTAAAATAGTTTTGTCCTGGGACATGATGCCTTTCAACCTAGATTCCCTGTTTAATTTTTTAAAAGGCACCTTTGGTCTACTCATCTCCTTTTCAACCCTTGTCTTGCAGACATCAACGACTGTGAGAGCAACCCATGTAAAAACGGGGGCACGTGCATTGATGGCATCAACTCCTACAAGTGTATTTGTAGCGATGGCTGGGAGGGCACCTTCTGTGAAGCAAGTAAGCAGGTCCTCCTCCAGCAGATGGGAGGATGGAAGGGGAAAATCTCTTGAAAGCACAATGGGCATCATTTATTGAGCAGCCTGTCTAGATGCTGAGAGAGTTGGGGATCTTGATTTGGATCAGGAGAAAACAGTTTTCTGGGTTTGTAGGCTATCCAACACTGGAAGTTGCAGGTGTGTGTTCTGCCCCAGGCTTTGGGAGTAGTAAGTGAACTCTTTCCCCCGTCCACTTGTACCCTCCTCCATCCTAGTTTGGGCTTTGGGCTAAGCAAACAGAACTCGCTTCTCTTTTTCACAAAAGCAGCTAGCTGCTCCTTCTGACCTCACATCTCATCCCATCCTACAAGCCCTTTATTTTTTCCTACTTGCTTTTGTTGCTGATGGGCTGCCCAGGACGGTTGTCTTATGCTCCCCTCTCTCTGAGTAGCTGACAGTGGCTATTTATTTATTGGTTTTATTTACTGCAGCTGCTGTGCAGCTCAATCCAGTAGGGCTCAAAGCAGCTTACCAAGGAGAAAAAAATACAGCATTAAAATAAGAGCTATTGTAAAGCAGAACAGAAGCAAAACAACAATGCCCCGAGCGACAGCCTCAGCATCCAAATCCATAGCAGTATAGATTTGGAACAATGTTCCAGGCACCAAGAAGTCTGGGAAACATAGTTTTCCCAGGGCATCGGAGTCCTTTGTAGGGAAATCTGGTTATTGTCCCAAACTGTTGCACCACTGGAAGGTACCTTTGCATTTCATTTTTCTTCAATATAAGATATTGATCAAATGATCTTGAGCAAAAAGGATATCCTGTACAAGAGAAGTTTTCTTTTAGTTTTCTTTTTGCTCCACCTAGTTATCAGTGTGCCTGAGTTACCCTGGGTAAAGTGCTGTACAGTTAAGGGAATGCTGGCTTCCAGTGATCTGAGTTCAGTATAGGGTGAGTGTGGCTTAACTACTAAGATACTTTTATGACAAGGCAGATAGACTGTGAGCTGAATAAATTGCTGGCAGATTTCATGGAGTTACACCTCTAGGTATTTTCTTCTCTTAAAACCATTATGTGTCCAGCAGACTTACGTTTTATACAGTTTTCACCAGAAGGAATTCTTTGCCTTTTGAATTTCATATTACTGTTGTTGTCGGTTTTAATTTTGCGACCATAATATTAACCTCGAGGGGAGTTTGCCACCGGCCTGCAGCATCTCAAGGGTGCCCAGGAACATCTGAACTGTTAGCCTTTGGGCTGGAAAGAGTGTACTGTAATTATGTCATGAGGCTTTATTGTCATTCCAAGGGACTTGCAAGGATGGTCAATAGTGAGAAAAACTGAAAGGGAACACAGGTGGAGTGCAGAATGAAGATGATAGGCATCAAGATCTTGGGGCATTTAATCCAGGGGGTAGAGGCTAGAAAGAGGGATAAGAGTATGCAGACAAAGCATATTCTTTAAATATTTTTAGCTACTACAGAGGATAATCAGCTGACATTCTCCTCTGTTATCCCCAGATATTAATGATTGCAGTAAAAGCCCTTGCCACAATGGAGGGACATGCAGAGACTTGGTCAATGACTTTTTCTGTGAATGTAAAAATGGCTGGAAAGGAAAAACCTGCCACTCACGTGAGTGTTTTTAATAGCTTTTCCAGACTCGTACTATTGGTATTCAGAATGTCATGTTTTATGCCTGAATTCAACTGATTCCAATGAGTGTGTTGATTGTCTTCTGAGCAGAAGGTAATTTCTGTTCCTCTGCCCTTGAAGTGTTAAAGTATCACATGTTCAAGGGCAGCTGCTTCATGAATGCCAGTGTTGAAGTTACATAATGCCAGTCTCTGTCCTGCATGAGTTCAAGGCACATTTCTTTTTGGTGGGCGTATAGTTTCACAAAGCCACGCTGTGTTGAATATAGGGATCAACTGGGGAAATGTTCCCAGCCGTTACCTGATGGTGCCTTTTCCTCTACACCTTCCCTTTATGTGAACATATTCCAGCAACACTGAGGACCAGAGCTTATTATTGGGAGGGGGAGCACAGTTGGCTCCCATATGCTACCATGACTGAGTGGGGGAGAGGGAGCAATAAGCTTTAATCAATAGATAGAGCTTTTTAAAAAAAAAAGTGTGTCAGACCCAGATGAATTTGACCCCCTGGCTTTCCCCCTCTGGTAGGTGACAGTCAGTGCGATGAAGCCACGTGCAACAATGGAGGGACATGTTACGATGAGGGCGATGTCTTCAAGTGCATGTGTCCTGCAGGGTGGGATGGAGCCACTTGCAACATAGGTATGAACCTGTGGGTCCTTGCCCTTCACTTTCCCAGGTGTGTGCTGAAGAGATTGGCAGCAAACTTTTTGTGTATCTTTTACAGCAAGGAATAGCAGTTGCCTGCCAAACCCCTGCCATAATGGAGGAACATGTGTTGTAAGTGGAGATTCTTTTACATGTGTCTGCAAAGAAGGCTGGGAAGGACCTACATGCACGCAGAGTAAGCTTTTTTTCCCCTTTCTTCCACAAATACATCTAGGGGGGCTTTGTTGAGCCAACAGTGCCCTGGGGAACTGGAGATTGAAACCAGAAGTGGGAAGCTGTTGGATGTGGGACCCGAGCCTCACCTCTTTCCGTCGGCTTTAATGACATTGTAGGATGGAGCTTTGACCTGGGCCTGAGAAAAGTTGCAAGCAAGATAAGTGGAGGCAGATGTTGGGTTGCTCCTCCACATGGCTCTGCCTTCCTCTTCCCCAGCAGCCACCGTTCAAACCTGTTCCCTGTGAGATTCTTTACAGCAATCCTCCTCTTGGATCTGGATTGCACAAGCTACAGATCTCTTTAGGTTTTTTAGTTGTTTTGTCAGAAACCATCAATTTAAGCCTGATGCAACAGTTAGCATTCTCTACCCTTCTAAATATGTATCACTTGAGCCCAGGAGTTCTGTTATGACCAAACTGAACTCATTCTTATTGCTGAGCAATATTCATTTTAGCAGGATTTTTTTTTTATACTTGCATGTGCGTATAAAATCTGGGACAGCCGTTTAGTTGTTACCGCTGTTAAATAACTAAGAGTCAAAATGTCTTGCCAGTTCACTCCAAAGGCTATAGACAGAGAGAGAAGATTCATCTGTGTGAGTAATAGAGCTTTGAAGGAGGGCTTCTCATTTAATGTACAAAACTAGAATGCTGACAGTTGTTGGTTAATTGAAAAGTAGCCAATGAGGCTTCTTTTTTTCATCTGTGTGCTCCGACTTCCTGCTTAGTGCATGAAACTGAGATTTAGAGGCTATCCACCGGAAAGTCCATCACTCATCCATTGCCCAACTTGTCTTACTTTCTCCTAATTTTGCCTCTCTTTGATCTCCCTGCAGATACAAATGACTGCAGTCCACATCCTTGGTAAGTCACTTTCTTGCATCTGAAGATATAAAGCCTGTAGAAAAAGAAGATGAAGAAGGGGGGAAGAAAAAGCCTCCATCCTAGCCATTTCCTTTTTCCCTGGACTGCCCTCTCTCTATTTATGCCCCAAATATCTTTATTTAGAAGGCTTTTTTTTATTAGTCATATGGTAGACATTTAGGGTGGGTATTAAATCTTCTTCCTCCAAAGCCTCTGAATGTCACTGAAAATGTCCTATCAAATTCTTCAAGATTTCCTTCATCTTTGCTGGGTTTATCATTGTTCTATTAAATTACAAGCTCACTATAGATAACTAGGCACACTATCAAATTAATAACTATATCTTATTAAACCAGTGCAACTTATAGTAGAATACATCTCTCCTGTGTATTTTTAGAATAATTTATATTTAAAATGGGTTATTGTGGGCAGCCTGACCTTCCAGATGTTGCTGGACTTTAAACCCCAGCAGCCACAGACAGCAGGGTCAATGCTAAGGAATACTGAGGATCGTAATTCAAGGCAGCAAGTTTCCCTGGCTTAGAAATCTATTATATTTTGAATGTCACTCTGCACTTTGTAAAAGTAAGAGCCAAAGGACTTTGCATTATCTTTTTTTCCCCTTCCCTTTCTCCCCTGCTCCCCATTCCTCCCAAACAGCTACAATAATGGAATCTGTGTGGATGGAGACAATTGGTACCGCTGTGAATGCGCTCCAGGTTTTGCAGGTCCTGACTGCAGGATAAGTAAGTTTTTAAAATTGTTTGATTCAAAAATGCTGAATTAGAGCTTGCATATTGGCTCATTTGAGTAGAGGTTGTCATGGAACTGGTCTTCAGTTAAGAGGGATTTCCGTTACAGGACTCCAACCCAACTTAAACAAAGACAATTTAAAAGCCTCCTTGAAATCAGTAGGTCTATGTAGTAGATACGTATGATAGAGCTGTGTATGTAAATTTCTGAAGAGCTTTGCTGGATCTATCCCAGCTTCCTGACACCATGGTGGCTAACCAGATGCTATAGACTGTGTTTTCCTGCCATTGGTACTTAGAGACATAGTGTTTTCAGTGCTGTAGATAATATATCCAATTACTATCATACCAAATAGGCAGTGATTGGGTGTTTATTTAATCCCCTTCTAAAAGTGGTCTAAGTTGATGTTTATTAGCACACCATCACAGAATCCCATAAGTTAAGAATGTGCTGTGTGGAAGTTCTTCCTTATTTGTATTCAAAAGTACTAGTTTTTTCTTCTGAATGGGGCCCTCAAGTGTCAGAGTTTCATCCTTCCAAGGAAAAGCCATTTCAAGAGGGGTTTCAAGGGAAAAGCAATTCTTTCCCCTATGCCCTTTCATTCTGAGAATGAACTTTCTTATGGCAAGAAACTACTCAGAATGAAATATTCCCTAATTAGAACAATTTTTGCCTTGGGCTCAGACCTTGAAGTGGCATATGTGGTTCCCTGTCATTACAAACTTACAGGTAAAAGAAAAGCTGTGCTTCTTAAAAGACAGAAATCCAATCAGGAGTACAGAATACAGAATGTAATAGAAGCTGTTGATATCAGAAGAGTGTATACATTGAAAGGGGCCAAAATCTGAGAACATTATTATAGCACAGTTTAAGAAACCTTTGTATGTTCATAAGCAGCTTCTATTCCTGCATTACGGAACTTCTGAAATAAGGCTCTGGATGATGATGATGATGATGATGATAAAAAATATATAAGGATAATAATTGTAATAATAAACATTTAATAATAAAAATCAAGTTTTACAGGTTAAGACTCTCAATAGTTCTGCTTGGGCTAATTGTCAAAGCATATACCAATGAATTGCATGGATTCCTCTACTTCCTCCCTTCCCCTCCAGATATTAATGAATGTCAGTCTTCACCTTGTGCTTTTGGAGCCACATGTGTAGATGAAATCAATGGATATCGCTGTATTTGTCCAGCTGGTCGTGGTGGTCCCAGATGTCAAGAAGGTATTCCACATCTGGTTTAAATTGCATAATTCTATTTAGCTATAACAAAATGTATTGTCTAAATTAGTAGTTGGTATACCATTTATGTTTAAAAAGCCTTCTTCCTCCTTTTGGATAGATTATTAGGTTGAATAGACAAGTATTCTCCTCTAGAATGGGCAATATTTCAGTTAGCAGGGAGCAAAGATGTGTAGATAATTTTCTTATCTTCCCTTCAGCCTTCCCCCTGGGAATTTCATTTAAAGTCTCATTCTGAGTCAGGGATTCTTGTAGATGAGTTCCTTAAATGCTTTTATCTTAGTTTCAGGAAGACCCTGTGTTGCCAGTGGGCATCTTATTCCAGATGGATCAAAATGGGATGACGAATGCAATAGCTGTCAGTGCGTGAATGGAAAAGTCTCCTGTTCTAAGGTACCATCAAGATCTCTGAACTAACATGCTCCTTTGCTTTTCCCCTTTTTCAGAGGGCCACTTAACAAGTGTTTGATATCTTTAGGTCTGGTGCGGTCCGAAGCCTTGTGTGATAAATGCCAAGGGCCACTGGGAATGTCCCACAGGCCACACCTGTCATCCTGTTAAAGATGATCACTGCTTTGTCCCACCCTGTGAGAATGTAGGCGAATGCTGGCCATCAAATCAACAGCCAGTGAAAATGACCTGCAGTTCGGACTCCTACTATCAAGAACATTGTGCTAACATCACCTTCACCTTCAACAAAGAGATGATGACCCCGGTAAGTAAGCCCATTCCAGGGAGAATCCAAAAAACTCCTACCAGCAGCTTACCTTGCAGCAGCAGCATCTCACCCATGCTTGTGCCTGTGAGCTGAGAGAACCAATAAAAACATTTCCTTCTGCGCAATATGGTATTTCAAGCTTCTCTCCAGCTGCCCTAGATGTCCTCCATGGGACTCTCTCATCATACCTTTATATCAACTCTCTGACATAGGCTAGGCAAAGAGATGACTCTTGCAAGGCTGATCAAGAAGCTTTGGTCAGCAATGACTTAATTTGGATTTCTTATTGCCAAACTCAGCAAAGTGCCTCAAAGCCATTTCACTTATTACTTTTTCAAAAAACCCTCTAGGAATATAATTACAAATGCACTCCTCGTGCAAGTCTGCTCATGGGGGAGCTAAAATAAGTGTGCCTCTGTACTGAGTCTACTTTTGCAAGCTCAGGTTGATTATTTTATAATGATCCTCTCTGCTAAATAGCAAATATAGGATATACAGCTCCAGTTGTAACATGGAGACAAGGAGTCCTGGGTGACTGTAGCCAGATAAAATTAATGATTCATGATCTTTATAGATCCTCTGCTGTCCAGGTTCTCATGCTTTCTTGCCTGTGCTGTTTCTCCCCCTCTTGGGTAGGGTCTGACAACCGAGCATGTCTGCAGTGAGCTGCGGAATCTGAATATCTTAAGGAATGTCTCCATCGAATATGCTCTGTATATCACCTGTGAGCCATCGCATCTGGCAAGCAATGAAATTCATGTGGCAATTGTAAGTCTATCCCTGGATTGAGCCTGTAGGCTTTAGCTTGGCTTTTGAAATGCCTGGTGAGATGGTCTTCCAGCCGTTCTAGAGGAGAGGAAAGGACCAAGGAGGGCTTCCTCTTGCCGTTTCCACTTCGTTGGATGGCATTAATTCCAGCAGGGGAAATTCATACTCTATGGCTTTTTTTTTTCCCCCTTGTTTCTTGTTTCTTTCTAGGATCAATTCCTTTTTGCATGTGTGAGGTTTGTGTTAGCCACCTTGGGAGCATACTAACAGGATGTTGTAATCTGAGTCAATAATAAAAACACAGTGGGCATTTTTGTAAATCCTGCAATGCATTGGGATCTGTTGAATGGTTTTGAAAAGTGGAAGGGTGGCTTTAATTGCATGTAATTAACAGGCTCGTTGGTACTGAATTAGCAGAATCCATGCCTGTACTGCAGGGTTCCTCAACCTCAGCAACTTTAAGATGGGTGGACTTCAACTCCCAGAATCCCCAGCCAGCCAATGCTGG